GTTCCTTGCAGTATTCGCAGTTTGGAAAATAATACCTGCAGGAGGGATTTCCCGTACCGTTTTAAGAAAAACGAATTTCGAAAAAGAAGATATTCCGAATTTCTAAGTAACGGGAAGTGCAACAAGAAATCGAAATTTTCGAAAAGAAGGATATTCCAGATTTTCAACAAAGAAGTTTCAAGATTTCATAAGCAAAACGAAAATGGAAATTTCAGATGTTGCGCTATTGCGATTTTCCACCACAGAATAGCGAGAAAACAAAATCCAAGAAAAGAAAAAAAAAAATTGATTTTCGGCAGTAAGCTAGGCTACGAGCAGGGCCGCCCGGGTCCCGGGTGGACAGCCCGTGCAAGGTCCCAGCAAAAAAAAAAAAAAAAAAAAAAAAAAATCCAAAAATTCTGAAAAAAAACTATGTTGTACAAAAAAATAAACTGAACAACTTTTGCCTCAGGGTCACATCGAAATTCCTCACAAAATTTAAAATAAAAAATAACATTCAAAAATATTTTATTTATTTTTATTTTTTTTAATTATTTTGGCCCGGCCGGGCAAGTGACCCCGGGCCACTCTGGTACCCTAGGCAGTAAGGTCAAAATCGTGATTTTGGGGGCCAACTAGTGTGCTCTTATCAATCAATAAAGACTAATCAGCTAACTAGTTGCTTGCCACGTGTTAGAGTCGTAGGAGTTAGTTTCAACTCCTGCATTTTTTGAGCTAAGTTTATTTTACTTAAGTGAATTCTCGCATTTTCTGGGATCATTTCTTATATTTGGCTTCGTGTAGATCTTGGTAAGCAACTTTATCTACAGGAAGCGCTGCCGAAATTTCAACAAAACCAAGGAGTTATAGTCAAATTTTGACTTTTTAAAGTTCAGCTTGCCTAAATTTGATATATGACTTGGTAAAAATTTGGAAAGTCTCCTTTTCTAAAGGGAGTACTGCCTAGATTTTTACTAATTCAGGACGTTAGGCAAAATTCAACTTTGGGAAGTCAAAGCTATTCTAGCTTTTTAGGCTAAGCCTTGTATAAATTTTGGAAAGCTACTTTCCCTACGCGAAGCGCTGCCAAAATTTCTACAAATCTAAGGAGCTAGTTAAATTTTGTCCTGGCTGAACTCAAGTTAACTTTTAGTTCAGACCTGACTCAGTATAACTTTGGGAAGTTTACTTTTCTAAAGGAGATGCTGCCAAAATTTTTACTAAATCAGGGAATTAGACAAAATTTGGCTTTCTAAAGTTTAAGGTTGTTTCGGTTTTCATATTTGGGCCGGGTTAGGTTTCTGAAAAGGCACCTTTCCTACGGGAAGCGCTGCCAAAATTTTCTCAGTTTAAACCACCGGTCCCCCCGCCACTAAAAACCCCTAGTCCATGTGAGTTAGGGCCGGGTTGTACGGAGGGGCGGCGACCGTAAGGAGGCGTCGGGTTGTACGGAGGCCGACGGGTCCAATCCCGCCATTTTGCAAGCGGCAACTTTGCCGATTTTTTGTGCTCAGAAGAAATGATGAAAATATCTGAAAATTTGAGGGTCCGTAGATTAGGTCGTGATCTTTCAGGTGCGAGGATTGAGCCCTCAAAGGGGCCTTGCCGTGATGTACATGTTCTGGGCTAAGGCCCCCAGCAAGCCTCGTGCCCGCCCTAAGTGAAGGCGGGCCAGCAAATCAACGAGAGCCCCTCTGTTCAAACATTTCACGAAGTGGGGTCCATACAGTTGATGCACGCCAGTTGGTTGGAGTGCACCGAGTACCGGATCTCTGCAAATGCAGAAGGACCAGGGCCCCCGAATTGGTTAGGCCCTGGGCACATAAACGTGAGGCCGACAATGCATAATGAATATAGAGACCGAAAATGTCAATGGGAAACCGGCCCACTATCTGAATCTGGACGCAGACCTTCATGAAAGAGGCGCAACTGTATTTTGTGGGCCCCAACCGCATTGGGCCTGGGTACAGGTACTGGGGCCCAGGCGCAGGCTCAATAGAGGCCGCCCACACGCAACACTGGCATATAGGCAGAGAGGGCGAGTGGGCGAGGATCTTGGCCATTGCGAGCAATGTGGGTACACTGAAGCATTGCGAGGTGCTACGCTGCGCTAGGCTGAGGTGGGGCAGGCTGGCGCTAAGCGGTAGAGCGCAGCCTGGGCGCAGGGCGCTGGCGGCCATAGCCGGGCTGCCTGTGGGCGCAGAGAAGGTGAAGGGCGAACGTGGTTCTTCAGAAGGTGAAGGGCGCTGTGTGGGATAACAAGGGAGAGTGAGGGTGAAGAGAGAGACGTACCTGGTGGAGAGGAGGTCGGCATTGGTGTTGACGTCATCACTCGCTGGTCGTTAAGTTATATGGTTGCTTCCATGTTGTAGTTGTAGTGTTAGGTTGTAGAGTAGACAGGGCGCCTGGCGCCATTCAAGAGAGAGAGCTACATTGGGTTATGTTGTTGGTGTTGCCCGATTGGGCTTGGACATTGACTCACGATTCTTCTGTATCGTTCTCAAATNTTCTCAAATGGATGGTTACTCGGTTCCATTGTGCTATCTGCTCTTGCTTTGACTACTTGGACTTCAGTGTGATCCTGCATTCTGGATTTCTGTGCTTTGTCCTCATTCGTGTTCCTTGCATTTTGGTATCGGAGCTGGTTTGATTCGCCACTTACCTTGGTGTGTTGGCGTTATACAGACTTGGTGCGTTGACGATGCTTCTTCGCAGTTGGTTCCTGTGACGTCAGGCCATATTAGGCGCACGACCTGGGTAGAGAGGTGTGCGCCGGAAGGCTATACGGCGTGGTATGCCGTGGTGACGGCAGAATGTATGATTGGTGATGAGAGCATGCTGATGTGGCATTTAGCTAAGGTGGCACTGCATTGTGTTGGTGGTGGTACCGAGGCTACGACCGGTCATCAAATGCACACTCAGCTCAATTGGTGAGAAATCTGTGGTTGGGCGCAGCTATCTCCAGGTACGTTGTTCCCTTTCTTTATCTACCCTCTCAATCTCTTCTTACCGCGAGGAAGTGAGTCCAACTTGAGAGTCCTCTCTTTTGGTGAGGTGTCGTGAGCGCTCTACCTTTAGAGACGATAATCTTTCCGGTGAAGCATCTGGAAGGAGAAAGGGCGGTGCCTCTGAAGGGCCCTGGTCGAAGCACATGGGTCACGATCACCATGCCAACCCAATGGGATTAGTACACGCATGCAATGGCTGCTTTGTCCATGAGGGCACTTTGCTGCGCTGATAGAGGGGTGTGTGGACTGAACAGGCGTATGCAGACGCTCCCAGACCGTCTATAAACATTTATGGATGCGGTTCCGATCTGATACTCGCTGTGATCGTCGTCCTGATTGCGACGTTAAATAATTACTGAGCGACCTTGGGGAAAGTCCTTAAATAGGCCTCTTGATCAGCCAGATCATTCGGACGTACGGCTCGTTGCACGCGAGGATAAAGAATGGGCAAAGCCTGGTCATAAGCATGCACCTGGGGCACAGGGGTGGGCCGACATTCCACACCTATGACACTACTGCTCTTGATGCTCATCGGTATGTTGGATTGAGGGGAGGGTAGGTTCGAACTGGTGCTCGGCTGTAAACACAACTATATCCACTGTTCATACATCTGCAACATAGTTTCGTTTTATTGTTGATTTGTTGGTTGACAGACTGCTAACACCTCGTAGACAGTTTAGTTTAGGACTGTTGTATACTACCCTAGCCAGTTCTATGCAAAACTTATTTACGTGCACTAATCACGATACAACTAGATTATGTTGACAGTCTTTTGTGAATGTTGTAGGCTGCCACTTGATCGGTCAAGTAGGGGACCTGATGCTCATCGG